ACTAATGGAGATAGAACTACTAATGAACAAAAAGAATTAGATGTTAAATATGAAAATAAGCAAGTATCCGAATTGAAAAGTTCTTTTATGCTTGCAACAAACTCTGATATTGCTGAAATTAGTGATGCTATGCTGAATTTGTCCACCACTCATGCTATAATAGAACAATACTTAATTGACACTAAATCTGAATTACCTTTGTCACAAAATAATTATTTTGATAGTGTTTATGATAAAGAAGAGTTGCATGATAGTGCTTCCATTATACATGTGCCACAACTATTGAATGAAAATGATGCTTTTGTTTTGGAACCAAATACTTGTGCTGAAAATAGACATTTGCTTCCAACTGCGTCTGAAAAAGATGAACTAAAAATTGTTGTCTTCTTTAGATACTTTGGGTTATATTGAGTTCGATACTCTGTGTGCGTTAAGTAATTTGAAGAAGAAATTTTTATGTGCTGAATTACCATGGTTATCCACAGGTGCATATCACTTTATTAAAAAATATAATTATAAAGGAGAGTATATGGTATATTGAGTTTATATTTATTCAAATCTAAAATGTCCTTTTGTTGTACAACAATATGATCAATCAGAGGGCTGCAATAGATATAATCATGTCATGTGGAGATCCCCAAGTTTTGTTATACAGAAACAAGTTAAATTTCAAGAAGGGGAGCAGTGTTGGCTACTACCTACAACTTGTCCTCCAACTAAGCTCAAACCGAGGACGATTTGCTGTCAAGAAGGGGAGGATGATGAGGACATGTCACCTTCGGATATGACCATTGATTTTAAGGTGAGGTCGTTCCTACATTTGTATAGTGATTTTTGTTACAATTCACTTGATTCCACATGTATATGTCACTATTTGCTTGCAGCTAGAAATGTGTATTAAAATGCAAGTCCATCAAAGTTGAACTTTCAGTTCGACGGTAGCCTGACAATACTTCATTGGAAAGGCTATAACTCGTCCATCCGGAGTGCGATTGAGGTTAATGAGCACTTGATGGAAATCTTGTTTCATAAGCTTTCAAATAGATCTGGTCCTATCTCAATATCTTGTCGGCAAGGCCTCTAAATCATCATGACAAGTTGCCGCTGTTTCTGCCGAGAGCTATGTCATCGTCGTGAGTCTCATATTCACCCTTGGGACCCTGGCCCAAGATGGACCACGCCCCAAGGAGATGGAGAACTCCTCAGAGATGCCCAAGGATGTCCTCCTCCTTGGGCACCACCTTAGGAGGCAAGCAAGAGCGTTCAAGCTAAGTTGGAGGCCCAATGCATACGAAGTTCGAGTCAATCTCGGGCTCCAGAGCAGTCTGTAGTAAAACGGACGCCCAGGTCACAAACGGACTCTATTTTTAATGATCCACACATGGATGGAAAGCTATTTTGATAAGCTAATCAATGGAAAGTGCTCCCACATCAAAATTCCTTTAGAATAAAAGAAAATCGTCAAAATAAGTTGACGTCTAGAATCTGTCAGGATGCCGCGTCGCCATCTTTTGGGTCGTTTGGGCCTTGTAACGTGTCGAACTTCTTATGGACATGAATAGAGGTCCTTGGATGCCCTTAGGTTATATAATCAGTAGCCACCACCTACGTTAAGTTTTGGATTTTGCTTTAGATCAATCTGTCATTGAACAGTTGCCGTTATCAGTTTGCAAGACCCTAACTTCGAGTGCTTAATCATTCATCTGCAATTGTCACTTCAATTGAGGTGCATTTTATCTTGTTCTTGCTTGTGTTCTTCGATTCATAGCAGGGATTAGCCTTCTTGGAGAGGTCAACCGGATTGTGACACGGTTGATAACCAGAGGAGACGTAGTGCTAAGGTTGCAGGGTTTGGGTCTTTGTGATCTGAAGCCGGATCGGTGTGTCGCTCTCCACCAAATCGATAGTTATCTTGAACATGACGGAAGATCGGGATCCCCCGTTCCCATCAGTACGGGCTACGGCCGGCGGCGGGTTGGTGGCGGAGAAGGATGTCGAACAAGCGGTGAAGCTCCTTGGTGCGTCGGGATGTAGATCTATCGGCGGTGGCTAGTGGCGGACCAAGGGCAGCGGGCGGCGGCCATGGAGCTAGGGTGGCTGGCGATGGGCGGTGGGGGCTGAATGTGGAGATGGGGGTGGCGGACCTGGAACTGGAGCGATGGGAGTGCGGGCAGTCTCGTGTGGGGGAGCGGGCGGCGCATACCGATAGGATACGATGGGCTGGCGGCCGCATATGAGCATTTAGGTTTAGGGGGTTTTGTTTTTTATTTTTATTTTTTCCACTGCCTTTTCTATGCCACAGAGGCGCCAATACCAAAAGCTAGGCGGCAACACCGAAAACATGGCGCCAAAGCTAAATCTATATGAGCGCGACTTATTTTTATGTGTGTATGTAATTTTAATCTTTGGGTAATATAAAAACCTACAGAATAATCAATATTTTTTTGTGTGTGTGCATTTTTTTCTGTGCGTTTTAAAAATACCGACAGAATAATTGCACTTTTTCTATGTGTATTGTCACACACAGGAAAAACATACAATTACCCTGTGGGTTTTCGTATTTTTCTGTCTTGATATTTTGGAACCGATAGAAAAATTATAATTTTTCTATGTGTACTGAAAAAAAACACACAGAAAAATTCGTCACCCACAGAAGTATTCGAGTTCCAAGTAGTGATTGGTAGACAAGTGAAAAAAATTGAAGTTTTTGGGCCGTGATTCTCAATGTCACAACTGAATTTTCTAAATTGGACAGTCAATGGTCAAGACATTCTGTTAAAGATCATGAAAAAATCATTCAATCAATCTACCTCTGCTCATCTGTAGCTTGTTTCATATTAGTCCAAACTTAAAGCCAAACAAAGCATATGATTTTCTGAAGCACATATAGAAACCACAAAATAACATACATGTTTGAAACTAAATGGCTAAAGTAAGTTCAATGCGAAAACCCAAAAAGAGGATGTAGCAACTAACCAACTAGTCAATGGTCAGGACATTCAGTTAAAAGATCATGAAATCCATTCAACCAACCTACCTCTGCTCATCTGTAGCTTGTTTCATATTACTGCCAACTTATAGCTAAACAAAGCATATCATTTTTTCTAAAGCACATGTGGAAGCACATGTAGCCAGTTGAAGTTGCCCTCGTTTGTCTGCCCGCCGGTACTGGATTCTTTGCTAATGCACCGGTTTAGGCACGGCGTACCAGCAGGCCGCTTCAGGCTGTTGCAATGGACTAATGGAGCAGAGCACTAGTGTTTCATCAGGAGACCAAGACAATCAGACAACTAACTCTGGTAGCTGAATAATGAACAAAGCTGAACTTCTGAATGCAGGGATTAATCTAATCTGAACAAGAACTGATCCCCAAAGTGAACCTAACGCAGAGGGGGAAAAACTCAAGAACCCAGAACGCCTGCTCACCGAAAGAACTTCCTGGCGAAAGAACTGGCGGTAATCTTGGCCTAACAGCCTCAGTAACAAGGAGAAGAACCCCATCATCAAATTTGAGTGGTTCCTGCAAATTGAAAACAAAATTCGCATGGTCGTCGACGGATTCTACTTCTACACCCAGATAAACGCGAGGAGTTGGAATCAGAGGCGACGACGGGCAGCACCGAGCTCGGGTTGTTGCATTCATAACTTTTTTGTGACAACTTATCACTTCAACTTCTTATCATAACTTTTTTGACTTTTTAAAAAAAAATATTTCCGTAATTCTCTAATTTTGATAAGTTACAGAGTTATACTCACAACTTTTATGCATCTTTTTACGGAACAACCTATCACAATAACTTCTCATCACAACTGTTTTGACTTTCCTTTTTTTTAGATTTTTTTTATTTTTCTTTTTTAGAAAGTTACAAAGTTATACTCATGACTTATGTATATATCTTTTTAGGAGACAACTTGTGATCATAACTTCTCAGTCTAAAGATAAGAAAATTGTTAGATTAATATGAAAACATGAAAAAGCAAAAAAAAAAAAAAAAAAGAAAAAAGGAAAAAGAAAACAAGAAATGAGAAAAAGAAAGAAAGGAAAAAAAAATGAGAAAACCACTCGCGGAGTAAATAGAGAGGACGTTGAGACACTACGTAAAAAACAGTTTATAGCAACGGAGCTTTTTTTTTCTAGGGGCGGCTGGCATTCGAGCCGCCCTTACAGTGGCGTGTTCGGGCTCCAGCACAGCAGCCGTCCCTACAAATGACACAGTATAGGCGGTTGATAATACGATCCGCCCCTACAAATGCTGTATCCATTTGTAGGGGCGGCTAAATCACCAGCCGCCCTTACAAATTCACCAGTGAGCCACGTCGCTGGAATTCCTTCCATGGCCATTGTTCGTCCACGTCGTCCAAAAATCCCCCACCACAAAAATATCTCCCATCTCTCCCCCTCCTCATCGCAAAAAAGAAAAACTACCATCCTCTCCCTCTCTGGCTCTCTCATGAGGCGCGGCTGCGCCTCCCGCGACCCCCGCCGTAATCGCTCCCGCTCTCGCCGCCTCCGCCCCCGTCGTCCCTCCCTCTCCCTCTCTCCTGACGTGGCGGCGTGCTGGCCCTATCCTCCGTCTCTGCTTTCACCTTCCCCCCTCTCTCTCTCGATGCCGCGGCGCGCCGGCCGACAAACGGCGCGGGCGGGACGGCGGCGCACGGGCGCCAGCGAGCCCCCATAGGTGGCCGTTGTCGCGGCTGCCACCATGACACGGCTTCCTCCCACCGGTCAGCGTGCGCTCCAGGGATCGACGAAACATCGAAACCCTAGGTGCCTGTGTTCGACACCTCTGTCTGCGCGCGTGTGGCCTCTTCCTCGGTGGATCGGCTTGGCGGCCAGATCTGGAGGTACCTCACCCTCTTCTTCTCTGTCTCATGGCTCGTCACCCAGATCCGTCCTCCGTCTCATGGTTCCTCACCAGATCCTCTCTCCCTCCATCTTCCCTTTGCGCAAGTGCGGGACAGCTAAGGCTGAGGCACCGACCACCCAGGAAGCAAGAGCCATGGCGGAGATCGCCGAAGCGGGCCGTCATGGGAAGCTGCCGGAGGAGCCGCGCGCCCACCGCATGGTGAGGAGGAGGAGGAGGACGAGGGGACGTGTGCGGATCTGCCGCAACGCGGCGATGAGGACCACCACTGCGCTACCCGTGCGCCTCGCAGTGGCAGCATCAAGTTCGTGCACCAGGACTGCCTCCTCCAGTGGCTCGACCATAGCAACTCGCGCCAGTGCGAGGTAATAAAACCGGCCCCGCCCCTGCCCTCACCCCGCGGATGGGGACGCCGCTGGGTCGTTGCTTTAGGGATTGATTAGTTCGATTGCGTGGTGGAATCGATCGATTGAACGTTGAGCTGGTGTTATGGGTGTTGTTTCTTTGTTATGACTTGTAGATTGGGTCAAAACTATGTTAATAGGTGTTCATAATGGATAGGGCTATTATTTATGCCTTTTCAGTTGCTAGAATTAGGGGATTAGGGTTGAGAATCAGGACAATTGGATGGTTTTGATGATTATTCAGCTAGCAAAGGTATTTTCATAATGCTCCGCTGCTGTTGTGGGTTCAGAGTATTTTCAGAGGCATAATAATTCTGTTAACCCCCTCCAGTTTCATCAAAAAAATAATTCTGTTAACCTGCAGCGTCTGCTTGTGCTTCTTAGCAGTGAGACTATTGACTTGGTATTGACATGTGATTTGCAGTTTCGGTTGCCTTATCTTCTCTTAGGCCACCTTCGGAACAAATGAAAAAATTGGAGGAATTCTAGGATTGGAATAATTAGAACGAACCTCCTCTTGAATAATTCATTTTGTTAGTCTAGGGCAATTGATTGAACAAGTTTTAGTTGGTGGTTCCAGGCACAACTCTACGGCTGGGTAGTAATGTCTTGTATTGCAAAGGAAAATACTCATGACGATGATGATGTGTGTGTCTTGTTTGTCTTCAGCTTCACCCCATTTTCTCTAGATAATTTCTGATGTATGCATATGTGCACTGCAGGTCTGTAAACACGCATTCTCCTTCTCACCCGTGTACGCTGAGAATGCTCCGACAAGACTTCCTTTCCACGAACTGATAGTTGGTGTTGGAATGAAAGCATGCCATGTGTTTCAATTCATCCTTCGGCTTGCCTTTGTTCTCTCAGTTTGGCTCATGATTATCCCGTTCATTACCTATTGGATATGCCGGTTAACATTTGTGAGAAGTCTTGGTGAAGCACAAAGGCTGTTCCTCAGTCACATCAGTGCTCAGTTGATCCTTAGTGATTGCCTTCATGGGTTCCTTCTCTCAGCTATCATTGTCCTTGTATTTCTCGGAGCCACCTCATTACGGGACTACATAAGGCATTTGCGTGAACTTGGTGGACATGATGCTGAGAGGGATGATGGAGGCCGTGAAAGGCATGGTGCTCGGGCTGTCAGGAGGCTAGCTGGTCCTAATAATAGGGTTCCTGCAGATGGAAATATTGATGAATTAGCAGAAGCCCAAGGAATTGGTCCCGGTGAACTTCTGAGGAGGAATGCTGAAAATGTTGCTGCTCGATTAGAACGACTTGAGGCTCAGGTTGAGCAGATGCTTGATGGTCTAGATGACGCAGATGGTGCAGAGGACGTTCCTTTTGATGAACTTGTTGGTATGCAAGGCCCTGTCTTCCACCTGGTTGAGAACGCAATAACAGTGAGTACTATTTTTCCTACAATACTTTTTTTTGGTAGATCTACATGTGTTGGCATAACTATTTTGAGTTTCAGAGTTGTGTTGCCATGCTACTGCAAAACATTGAGAACTCTTCCACTCCCTTTAGAGTTGTTTGTGTAATGGCACTGTATATATTTTCTGCAAAAGAACATACATAATTGACAGTAGTTGGTCTATAACTCTATATAGAAGGAAAGGTTGCAGTCAAATTGTGAATTTGATTCAACTTTGTAAATGAAGCACAGTCACTAGTTTCTCTGGGTTGCTTGGACCATGGGACTATGGGCTGAGCTGCACAGGGGTACAGGTGAAAGTATGAGGGGCACAGTCACTTTGTTTTAAGCACAATGCACTTAATTACTCATTTTTTACTCTGTTTGCCCCGGTGGTGATTACCTTCTCTTTATTGTTCAACATGAAGTTCATTGGACTATCGCTGCAAACACTTGTCCTTTTTCCTGGATTGTATCACTTTGCAGAATTCCTCTTCTTAACATAAATTGGTCACAAGTTTTGAACCCTGCACCACTTTGACTAGTGCAGCAGCCGAGAATCAAGTAGATTATGCTAAACTTAGAGCCACCATGTGCTAGGATAAAAATATGCACAGGCGTAACAACCTCATCTTTGTGAAAACTCTCGTACCTGTGAAAGTACTCCTCCTTATTCATGTCATGTACTCATGTCTTTGTGAAAGTGCTAAGATGAATAACGTGTTAGACAATGATACATCTTTTTCATGTCTTTCATGTATTGCTCTGCACAGCATATAAATCTGGTTAAAACATTGTTTTGGTTTTGATTTGCACAGTGCTGATGGATAGCCACAAGGAGAACGATGCAATAGCGGAGCTCAGCCGTGCGATATCCTTCAAAGCCGACCTGCACTTGCTGCATCTCTGGGCTTATTTCAATGTTTGAATTATTAGTTCTTGATGAAATGAGAAGAAACTTCTGACCCTCTTTGCCAATTTATTACATGTTAGACATATCTACTTGTACTACACATACTACCTCTATTTTTTGTTTTGTTAGCACTTGAGTGCTTGCTTGTCTTTTTGTGATATAGATATATGTTTTGTTGTCATAATATGAGTCTGTTTGTTATTTTTGTGATTCTTGTACTACATAAGATGTTTAGAAACTTTTGGCTAAACAATCTTGTTTGGGCTATAATATTACAGTCAAGTTTGCTAGTATACTTGATCATGTATTTTACTTATCACACGATGATTTGAGAGAGCACGTGTTGGTAATTTAAATTTTTTTGGCGAAAAAATATACTGTAGGGACGGTTGGTATTATAGCCGCCCCTACAAATAGGTATTATAGGGGCGGCTGGTACTGTAGCCGCCCCTACAAATCGATTTTGTAGGGTACCAGCTGTGCCTACAAATCGATTTGTAGGGGCGGCTGATAACACCAACCGTCTCTACAAATTGATTTGTAAGAGCGGTCTGGAAATCGTCCATACAAATACATAATTTGTAGAGACGGTATGATAGGGGCGGCTGGCTGAGCTGCCTCTACAAATCATCGCCAACGCCCCTACAAATGCTTTTTTTTTAAGTAGTGAGAGAAGATGTCAGTTGCTCCGTCGACTTGCCTAGTAGGGCCCACCATGTGATTAGTGCCTAACGTTATCAGTCGCACATATGAAAAGTGTTCACTACGTTGGAATCGCCCGAACGATCACAGAAATGGAATTGGGTAACGTTGTGACTCGATTACACGTGGGCTGAAACAAACAAGAAGCAACGACATCTATTAAAATCTGTAATCAAGTAGTGTTACATTTACCCAAAACCAAACGCTTATCTTAGTCTCTTCCAAGCAAAGCAAGGGCACATGCATTCTCATGGGAGGCGACCTCACGGACCACCTTGCGACGTGCATGAACACGGAGGCCCCGCACATTTCAGACCACGACGATGTTTTCTCTTTTCACAGTTCATGGCAACAATCACCACCAAGAAGAAAGCAGTGATGGGAGCCCTACGCGAGACAGAAATTATCTCACATATTGTACAGTACCTGGTACTCCGTAATTGTCATACATGTTCAATAATGTCAACGTGAGATTGTGAGAATATCTCAGAAGCTTCGTTGTTGCGTGTGGAGTGACTTGGTACTTGGTACTGGCCACCGGGATGATAGAGAATGGAAGTCAGAGATGGAGGTCACCACACCATTATCTGACCACTGAAAAAATTGTGCTCTATTCCTAAGTTTTGCATGACGTTTCCAAAAAAAATAGAATACTCGTAAATGACAGGAGCCGGGCACAGGCCACATAGCCGTTCGTTTCGGCTGAAATAATTATGGATTATTACTGCTGACTGGTTTGATGTAAGAGATAAATACTGTTTACGACCCAACGAATTGGCTGTTAGTGCGCAGACGCGTAGTAGGAGTACTAATATCTACACCAACCACGGAGAAGAGGACAAACCGTCCAAACTGCAAGCCCAAGTCACACACGCGACACGTCCCTCTCTCATGCTCATCCCCAACAGATTACCACTGCTTCTCCAACCCCAACAGAAGACCCACCCACCACACCCGCACCACCATATACTTACTCATCGACGCAACCCACCACGAACACATCTACTTATCGCACATCAAGCGAGCGCAGGAGCTAGCTCAGGCGCGCGAGAGATGGAGAAGGAGGCGGCGGCGCAGGCGCAGGTGCAGTGGCAGGGCGTGGTGGAGGCCACTCTGCCGTCGACGCCAGCCTCAGCGGCGTGGCCGCACATCGCCAGCTTCTGCGCGCTGCACCGGTACCTCCCGAGCATCGACGTGTGCGAGCTCGCGGAGGGGAGACGGCCGGCACGGGTGCGTCCGCTACGTGGCCTCGCTCGCGCCGGGCACTACCACCGGGGAAGTCGGCATCTGGGCGCGGGAGAAGTTGCTGGAGATCGACGACGACGCCCGCCGGCTCGCGTACTCTGTCGTCGGCAGCAGCATGGGGCTCGGCAGCTACGTCGCCACTATGAGCATCATCGTCGGTGACCAGGAGGAGGAGGAGGCAAAGGAACCGGGGTGCAGGCTGGTGTGGGCGTTCGAGTGCGACCCCGTGCAGGGGTGGACCTGGGACGGGCTCCTCGGCTACCTCGACGGCGGCGTCAAGGCCATCGCCGCGCGGATGGAGGAAGCCCATGCCGCCGCCAGCGCCAGTGCCGGAGGAGACGGCGTCGTCGTCGTCGCTGCTTGACAACTCCATCTGCGGAGGAATCTCAACAGCCGCCAGATGCATTTCTGTATTGAATATTGATTATTATCACCTCGTCAAACTAGTTAATGCATTGTTAATCGCAACGACTGCCACTAGCTTGCTTGCTTGTCCGTCTCTCCTTCATTATCTACCGGATTTGTATGTCGCGTCGCGTCAGAATGTCAGCAGAATGTACGAAATTAACTTGAAAGCGACTCTGTTGTTGGCTCCTGCTTGTTTTATTCTGGCGATGTCCATATCGATCCATGTCTACTCGCTCGGATGTGCAAAAGGCAGAAGATATTGTGATGAACATGGTTGAACAAGATGCACCATGTTCCAACCACGTGTGAGGACTGAGGACTGACTGTGAGAACATTACTTCACCCTCGGATGCCTCATCTCGCGCGATTGAAAGGTTTTGTTCAATACGCTCAGCTGGAAGATGGCTGGATGGCACGCGATGTGCCGATTCATTTGCGACTACTGGACCACGGAAATTAAAGAGACTTGTTCGATTCTGATTGATGGACTTGCGTATATGTTCCCTTCCCACTTGCTGCAAGTATTGTCCAGCAAAGCTATGAGAGGCAGAGCTACGTGAGAATCCGAACAAACATGTTACCGGCCGGACAATTTATTCGTTGGCACGTGCCGAGGCTCGGAAGCACATGTTAAATTGGTCCACCGCCTGTTGAAAACAAACCGGAGGAGGAGCACATAGCTGATGTAATAAGCTGAATTATTTGCTCAACGGCAATTCGTACACTGAGAAGTTGGAAGGTCCTTCTTTATTACAGGAGGAGTTCATTGACTTGGAGATTGCTTCTTGTATCTTGGAGGAGTCCCTTGCGAAACTATATGTAAGTTGGGGAGTGAGGAGTTACCCATAAGTCACACAATATTGGGCTAAAGAGACACGTCCGTTCCTCGAGCCAACAAAACTCTAAATGGATATGGGTGCCCAAACCAAACCCTCTTTTGGAGATTGGCTACCTAGCTAGGGGAGAAGGGGTTCACCGTGTCCCGGTCCTGAGTATTTTTGGACCTGGAACGAAGCTAAAATTTTGGACCTTTTTTATATGAACAAAATAATACTACTAGTACTACCCATTGGTAGTATATACACATATATATAAAATATTACTAATAAACAGTTAACTCAATGCAAAAGCAATATTTATATGAAATAATTTGTAGGTTCTGTTTCATTTGAATTAAATATGTGCTCATGATCACTCACATTGTGTTTATCCATGTCAATGTCAATATTGTCTTCCATATGGTCCCGATTTTCTGGATTAGTATTAGCTGAATTGTTAAATTGGTCCATCGCCTGTTGAAAACAAACCGGAGAAGGAGCGCGCAGGTGATGTAATAAGCTGAATTATTTGCTCAACGGCAATTCCTACACCGAGAAATTGGAAGATCCTTCTTTACAGGAGTTCACTGACTTGGAGATTGCTTGTTGTATCTTGGAGGAGTCGCTTGCGAAACTATGTATACTAGAACATTAGGCGCCCTTCCGGCACCCTATTATTAACTATTTGGCCAAATTTATCTATACTAAAGTATTTAGCCAAATTTATAACAATACTTTTCTCGTTTCATAAAGAACAAAATTAAGTAAAATCTTTTTGCGTGCAACACACTAAGATTGTTGTACAATAAAAGAAAATTAAACCATGAATGTCATCAGACATCTTTGAAAACTCTCTTACATCATGCAGCACTATAAAGGGTCATTGTACAATCTCAGAGATCAATTTTACATGCAACCATAATGAACTTCAAAAGAGTTTGTCCTGAACTTGGTCCAAAACAGAAAGACTCGTAGAATCTTTGATTGATGTGCAGTTGACATCAATTTATACTCCTATATAAACCCCTCAACGGCAGTTGGCAGAGGATCCGTTTGACGGCGACATCAGGTCTTTACGGCATCTTTGTGTACCTGCTTCACAACTCAAGAGCAAGACCATCACTAAACAAAATTTAATCTTATCCAAACTTGGAAAGAAACATCTTACAAGCTGTCTAGAAAATTAGCTTTTATGCAAGCTAGTCCAAAATCAGTGGTAACATAGGCTGGGTAGCTAATTTTGCCAACATAATGAATGCTAATGATCCAGGGTATAATTGTAGTGAGCATGTAATCACTAATCATAAATTAGAAATACAAGCAGGCCAAAAAAATATGGTAACAGTCACTAAAACATTGCACAAAAAATTAGCAAATCTTATAACACTGTGATATATACTCTACCGAAGATAGGGTAACACCTATTGCTGTTGTAAGCAAGCATTGGCCGAATTAAAGTGACAACCATTGATTAAAGAATAAGTATGTTCCGACAAAATAGTACTACTTTCTTCAATCAAAATATTGTGCTATTATGTCCAGGTCAATAATCAATCTATTGTATACTTCTGAGCTGGTGCAAAGACATAAGTCAATTTATTATAATCGTAATTTTAAAATGGTTCAGACTTATGAGATGCTGGCAAACAAGAAAGAGAATAAAAGTATATTGACATAACAATTTCTCGACCAATGGAATGCCAAAACATAAATTCTGAGCAAATAAATAAATTTACATAAGAATGTGGCATATGCTAGCTAAACATGCTTTTTTAGGGGACTAGCTAAACATGCTTTTGAGAAGTACCAAAGCAAACTGAGAAGGCCATTACCAATCACCATGCTTTGGCCGTTTCATCATGAGAGAGCTTCCAAGTAATTTGGCCCACTATTAAAAAAGGTGAATTGGGATTCAGTCTACTGAGTACGGTAAGATTCAAAAGGAGATAAAACATTGGAAAGAGATATTTACCTTTGCGTTAGCAATATGGCCTTGTTATAATTCTGTTAGTGAGAGACAAAATTAGCAACTCATAGTTAAATAGTGGGTACATATAAACAAAATTACAAAGCACTAAAAAGAGGCTCTTACTATCTATGGCAGCCCCTACAGGCTCATGCACTACAAGTTCTAGATGTAAAGCTACCTCTTCTCTGCATACATAAGATAGAAATCACAATTTGTCCCACTTACAAGCTCCTAGAGGAGAAGCTGTCAGCAGTCCATCTTCATTACCTTCCGATGATAAGCCTTCTTTCCCTGAAAACACATAGGATTTTGATAGTTCCATAAGCACCGTTGTATCATATTTCTTATTACTAATCCATAAGCGCACCACAGATTAAAAGTGCTGACTAAAATCAATTTCCATCATTTTAGAAATCTCTTTCTAAACACAACATGCCACACATCATTCAAAAAATAGGTGACCAACTGTTTCCTGCTCATTACTAACATAGTTTTGCTAGACTAACAAACAAGTCTTGCTAGTTAGTTGGCAACCATCTAGCAAACTTGCTCTAACTAGAAAGACTTGTTTGTTAGTAAATCTTGCTAGTTAGAGCTAGTTTGTTAGTTGGTACTCCCTCTATTCCAAATTATAAGTCTGTTTGACTTTTTTGTTACATCAAATTTACTATGTATCTAGAAATAATATATATCTACGTATATGAAAATTTTGATGTACCAAAAAAGTCAAAGCGACTTATCATTTGGAACGAAGGGAGTAGCTTCTTTGTTTGAGTGACATAGTTTAGAGACCAAGCTACTAGACTTGTGTAGGGGCTTGCTTTGGGTGAATTAGAGCTAGAGCAAGTAGTTCCTCTTTGTCAGATTGTTTTGCTCTGGCAATATCTAGCAACGTGATCGCGTAGACGGAATCAAATGGTAGCACACGAGATACAGAGATTTATACTGGTTCAGGGCGCGGTGCGCGCTAATCCCTACTTCAGTGGTGCTGTTGCTCTTGTATTCGTATGCTCAATTACAAGGGCTGTTGCTCCTAGCTACGTAGTAGATTGGAATAGGTGGAAGATGGATCCTGAGCCCGAGGTCCCTACCCTCCTTTATATAGGCAGGAGGGGTAGAGTTACAGAGAGGGCGATCGGGCTAACAGATCATGTTCCTAGTTTGTTACATGATGTGCGCGATAGATTGATCCTAGCTATCGTCTAGATATGCCCGTCTTGATTTGCCTTGACCTCCATGTTGGTTGATCACATCAATCCTCACGGGCCTCCTCTTTGATGGCTGCTGGGCCAATGGCTGGGCAATGGTCATATATACGGGCGGTGCAAGTACCCCTGGCCCATATCTCTAACAGTAGCCCCCATAGGACTTAATGATAAACTAGCACACAACTTTTAGTCCTCGGGGCATCGCGGTCTCCCCTGTAAGTTCTGTGTACTGTAAGTACAAGTGAGCATCTTCGGTTGCCTATTGGCAATCTTTATCGATCAAATCTGGCCGCCAATTAAGACACAAAAGAGGAGAAATTGGCAATCTTAAACACATATGCATTTACTATTAACCAAGTTCTACATGTATTTGGAGAACATTATTTTGCAGGTCACAAACACAAATACATGGAAGATTTCAACGAAAGGTGCTTTTCGACGTTGATTTGCGCAAAGGAACAAGGGAGACGCCCATGAACTTGACTCAAATCAGGCAAAGCACCATAGGGATGCAATCCAGGTCTAGCCCAAAGCCTGCCACGCGAATGCGGTGGTGAGGTGGCATGGTTAAGGGGCGGCCGACCCCCTGCCGGCGCTGCTCAGCCACCCCTTCGATAGGCAGTGGCATGCCTCCATGCTAAGGCGGTGCAGCCTAGCGTTTCATGCCAAGAATAGCCGAAGCACCGTCCTTGCTCCTTGTATAGAGGGGTACCCCCCATCTACGACACACTCACATTGAGCAACACCTCTCACACCTCACTCTCTAGTTGTAAGCTTTACTTTCTTTTAGTAGTTTAGAGCAAGGCAAAGCTACCTTGGAGAGCTTGGCTCCATGGAAGCAGAGACCTTTGGGTATGAATAGAAATACGAGTTCTTACAAAGTCATGCTTTCACTTTATAATTGTAGTCATACTTTTGAACTAGAGTATAGTTGTTATGTTATAATCTTGGTATATGAACT